AATTATAACTTTTTGAAAATGAAAATGCTCAACAAATATTACTCATAGTGACAACAATTTTTTTTTTTTAAAAAAAAATACTCCCTCCATCCTTTTTTTTTATAAAAAAACAATTTCTCTCATAGTGATGTTTCTTCTAAATATAAGAAGCACATCCTGTTTATTTGAAATTTTAAACTAGTCTTTTCACTTTTATCTCTATTAAATATATGCAACTTATTATTTTTTTTGTAATAAATTTTCACATCTCTTATGTATTCTTTTTACAAATAAAGATATAATTGAAAAACATGTATATATCTTATATATTACTATTTTTAACTAAATCTAGCTAACATTTTAAAATTTATGATTTTGGTAGCTGTTTCTTATATATAGATACGCAGTAAATCAACAACATATATGGGAATCTCATGAAAGGTTAGAAAGAAGTCAACTCCTTTATGGACATTGAATGCTACTGCATTTCTCACAAGAAGTTAGTTATTAATATTAACTAAAGTGAATTGATTTTGCATCACTTAATTAATATTTAAAAAACTTAAATTATGCTTTTAAAGATGTTGAAAAGTAGGGGTGTGCATGAGGCCCGCATACCCAATAAGCCCGCCCGAGCCCGTAAGAAAAATGCCCAGCCCAACCCAGTAAAAAGCTGTCCAAGCAAAAATGGGCATCTTCGGGCCAGGCTGATTCACGGGCAGGGCAGGGCCGCGGGCAGGGTATGCTGCCCTGCCCATTTGGCCCTGCCCGAAAAAATATATAATTATATATATAAGATAATATTATTTCAAGCAATTATCTCTTTTATTTTAGCTAAAAAAAATAGGTAAAATTAGAAAAAATGAAAGGAACATAAAAATTATAATTATATAAAAGAGCTAAATATCAAAATATAAGATTCAATATGCTAAATTACTCCAAGTCAAATGTTCTTCTTTTTCTCTTACATCCAATTTTTTAAAACAAAAAATAAAAATAAAACCACCTTTCAAATTTTGTGCTTTCACATGATTATAAGAATCCACCAATTATATGGATAAACTAAGAAATTGAAATACTGATTTAGCTTAATTATTAAATATTCTAATTATTAAATATATTTTTTTTACCTCCCATAAGAAATCAAAAGCTAAAGAATAAGACTACATAGGCCTTATATATATATATGAGTGATAGACTCATTCGTGATAATTTTTTTCCTCTCATTTGTCTCAAAACATGATAATTGATTTTTTTTTTTACATATGACATAGGGCATTGTGTCATTACGCTGGGCAGAAAAGCCCGCCCTGCCCAGCCCGCCCTTGCCCTGCCCAAAATGGTTAGGGCTTCTACTGGGTAGGGCCGGGCAACGGGCTGCAAAACGCAGCCCGCTCATCTTTCGGGCTGGGCATCGGGCAAGGGGCTTGCCCTGCCCAGCCCTGCCCATGTGCAGCCCTATTAAAAAGGAAGCGTAACATGGGGAAGGCGAGGGCGTCGTGGTCAAGCAATGGCGGGACCGAAATTATTCGTCGTCGTTTTGTCTTATTGTCTTTCTTTCCTTAATCTGGTTCCTTCTTTTCATGGAAACGTCTGATGCTTTTCTTTTCCCTGCTTGCTTTTTCATGGATCCAACGATATACATGTGAATAAATAAAGTGGAAGAGAGAGCCCAACCACAGGGAATGTCGTTTTCATTCTGTTAGAGATCATCACATGACCTGCGTAAAGATTCAGACGATGTTTCTTTAACTTGTTACTGCAAAAATGGTATTCTCCTGATGATGATCAGAACTCAGGAGTGAAGCAATCAAACACTTGGAACTTTGAAGCCTCGTTTTGCCCGCAAACTCAGAAAATTTAGAACAAGCAACGCAGAAATGGTAATCTGAAGAAAACTCGAGAGTTCGTAGACTCTCATCTTGGAGTGCCCTCGTTGTGTTACGAATGTTTTTCAAAGCAAACGACATGGCATTTTGGCGTCTAAGCGATGAAAACGACACAGCGCTGATATATGCGAGGGACCATTACAATAATATAATTTTTTTTGTTGGATATAGGTATTCTCTTGTTCAAAACAGTGTCAAATGAATATTTTTTTTAATAAGAATTTGAATTTGACATGTCATGAGAGATTAATTTTTTCTGTTGGACCAATTTGATTTGTTGGTTCTGTGAAATTGTCTTCCTCCCATTATTGGAAGCACCCAAAAGTGCTTTTTATAAACATTTTTCTGTAAAACGAGACAAATTCTTTTATATATTTATTTCGTACACTATAAAAACACTTTAACATCATGATTTTGATTCCATCCAAATACCCTCTAATCACAAGTGCTAATTGATTTATGCCCATTGTTGGGCCATTCAGATAGACTGACATTACTGCTACTATTTTGATAGAACTAACATTATTATTTACGCCCATTAAACTAATTTGTAGATATTTAAAAAATCTTGTTAAGTTATTCATCAATCAATCAACAGGGACACTTTCTTTAAGAAAAAAACTATGAAATTATGAGATAAAATTGATTAAAATTTTATATTTAAAGCTAGAATAAATTATTTGCCTAACTCTTATATTTAAGACGGGAGATAGTATGTAGTTTGAAATGCAATTTAATTAATTTATAAAGTATTAATCATAATTTTAATAACTTAAGAACCCTAACAAAATTGTTTTTTTTTTAAACATATACTCTCTCCAATCCTTATCAAACTAATTCACGGATAACGAACTGTTAGTTAAAATTAGTTAGAAGCAATAAATATGTTAAAAATATAGTTTTGTTTCTAAATATGTCCTTATAATAAATGAAAAAAAGATAAAAGAGAATGTGTGAGAAAATATGATAAGAGAGAGTATAATAAAGAAGAGGGAATAAATTATTAGGGGCAAAAATGAAAAAAAATACATTAAATATTAAGACAAATATCAAATTTAAAACTTATAAATAGGAATGAAAAAAGTATAAAATTAAGCAAACTGTTGCATGTCACTAGTTTTTTAATCAATATATATAATAAAAAAATATATTATATAGTTAAGGCAACCCTAAACTATCTGCTATGTGGTTTACTAACAGTAAGTCATCCCAATAACAGCACTACTCATTACATTTCAATGATGTCTCAGAATATTTAAGCTGAATGTTACCATGTTGATGTGTACACGTATGTATGTGTTTAAATTGTATAACAAACCAGGGAGGAAAAAAAAAAAAAAGAGCAACGTGTATTGTTTTTTAAATGTTATAGAAAAGCATAAAAAATGTATTTAGTTGATTATTGGTACTGCTTACGGGGTGACATGCAATGCAAGGAACTCGATGAATTAATTTTGTCTTTGCAAAAATATCATTGATATTTGAGAATTTGGATTTTAAAATAATTCTTTATTAATTTCATAAAATTAAAAATTTTAAATGTATATTTAATTTTAATTTACATTAATCATAAAAAGAAAAAACAAAATATCATCGTGCTATTGCTAACATCATTATTCATTAATCATTGAGGAAGCTTGCTTGTGTCCTGTTAATTGTTATTAACACTAGAGAAGACAAGTCATTTAAGCATTACACTGCTTGTCTCTGACTTTTGATTTATATAATGATTATTTTTAAATTTTATATTTATAGCCTTTTTTGGTGTTCAATAAAACACTAATGAGGGATTCTACATGCAGGTCCCATAATAAATAAATAGTAAATACTAGTTTCCACATAAAATTGCTTTTTACACTTGAAATTATTAAAATACACAAAGATGTGTCATTAAACTAATAAATTTTCCCAAACCAAGCAAAACTTAAGACATAATTTCAACCTCCTTTCTTTTTTTTTTTTTAACAAGAATTTCAACCTCCTTTCTAACTAGTAAGTCTGAGAGATACAAGGAAAGTTTTAATTGAATGATATTCTTCTTATATCATGCACTCAAGATACTATTCGAACACCTCTCTGAAAACGAGTTCAAATTTAATAGTTAGAACTTTTCCCTGTTCAAACATATTAAAAATAGATAAGAAATTAACAACAACAATTTGAATTTTTTACATCAATTTAAAGAATTTATATAATTCTGAAGCAAGATGACATAGAGAAAAAAACAGAGTCGATAAAAAAGGATAGGAAGTTGGTTTGATAATTTTTCATTCTTGTGACTTCAGGCAAAAAAAATTCTCGTGACTCGTAATATTCAAATATAAATAATTCAAATAAAAAAAATTCTGATACAGTGTCTTGGAATTCATACGTAAATGATCCAATTTGCAAATAGAAGAAAGACGGAATTGTTGGAGGAGGTGAGAAAATACGTAAAAGGCACAACAAACCTGTAGAAGGAAGAAAGAAGACGGTACAGGAAGCTTACGGCGGGAAAAAGAAGAGGACGAAGAAGAAGAAAAGCTAAGAAAGCAAAGTAAAATCTATAAAAAGCAATCTCTCACATCGACACTCTCTCACAGTGCTCTTCATTTTTAAAACGGCCGGAACCCAACGGAAGGACTCATTCACTCTGTAAGAAAATCTGCGTTCTCTCTCGAAAGAAAGAGACGGAGAACTTATTATTCAAGATACACTGATTCAGTGTTTCCTCAGATCTCCGTCTGCTTCTCCGACGCATTATCCTTATCTCACCCTCTCTGGTACTTACTTCCATTCGTTTGTCTCTGAGATTCTTTGCGTTTCTTTGAATTTAATTTCCATTTTCATTCCCACTGCAAGGATTCCTTTCTGTCAGTTTTTACCCTTTTGGTTTTCTATTTCCTTGAGTTCTGAGCATCTGCATTTGCTTATGAGTTGATCTGTTCTCAAATGCGTAGCATATTTATGAATTTTTCTGCGAGAAACTTTCAAGGTACGGCTAAAAAAAACTTGGAGAGAAATTCTCTGTTTTTATCTTCTTTTTTCTCTCTCCATGTTTTAAAATTAATCTTTGGATGTTTACTTCCAACAGGAGGAAACGAATAACTCCACTGCTCTCAACTGTTTCAAATGATGCTTTTGGACTCTCAATTGACATCTTCCTTTTTGGAAATCTTTTAACATTTAATCGACAAGATTTAATCTCCTTTATCATCTAATGCTGTTCTTCCTTTTTCGAACAACCAACGAGAGTCAAGTCGGTTTCTGTTTCTCTGTTTTCTCCTCCCAGAGGACCCAGATATTTCATTCGTTAATGCATTCCCCTTCTTCTCATTCATATCCTTCTAATCAGATACAGATTAGGGATCGCCAGTCTACCGAAACTCACTTCTCGTTGTTGAAAGGGAAAGCCGTTTTTGTAATGATGCAGTATATATTCTCGCGAGCATTATTGTTTCTACAGTCGTTACATACTTTCATTGTGCTTTTCCCCCTCCTTATAATTATATATACAGCGTATAATAGTTAGATTTAGCCGTAACCTTTGGAGCATTAACCTCGGGTCTGACAGTTTTTACGTATTTCCGTGCACGCATCTCCTTAAATTAAAATTCACACAAAGCTTGTTCATCTGTTGTTTTTTACCATGTTAAGATGGAAAGAAAACTTTGTCTTTAACGTAATTCTGCTGATGTCAATTAGCTTGTTGTCTGAATTTTATTTTGATGATTTCTATCTGTGCTGTTTTATGTTCTTTTTTTGTTTGTTCTTGTTTTTTTACTGATACTGTTGTGTTTTGGGGTTATCAAAGTTTTATTTTGGGCCAAAAAATAAAGATGCAAAGAGAATTTGAAAGTTGACGGATGGTGAAAAAAGAATTCTACCAAAATAGATTGTGAAAAAAAAAAAAGGGAACAATCGGCTTGTGAACTTTATATGCCTTATGGTTTTCCATCTTTACAGAAAAACGAGATGAGAACAAGAAAGAAAGGTGGAAAATGAGGCTAAAAAACTCTGTTGATACATGTCATTATACATTTATGCCATATCCCCAGAAAGGTGAATATATAAATTTCAATCTTTTGGGGGGGGGGGGGGTAAGACTTTGTTGAACCAAGGAATGTTATTTCAAATTGTCGTGGGAACTTTACCGTTATATGTGTTTTTGCGACAGCTTGGTCTAGGTTAGATATTTTTAACCCGGGAGCGAAAGACAGCTGTTGTCGGAAGATAACGAAAAGTGAATGATTCCGTAAGACATACCATTTAAAGTGTCGGAATTTGTGTTTAGTCCATAATGTAGTTAATTCTCGGTCAAAAGTTGTCTACAGTGGGTAGGAGTTAGGACTGTAAGTATTTTTGTGCCAAGTTAAGAATAGGCAAGAATCTCTAAGTTAACACGGACGTGTTTTTTTCCCTACATTTCAGGGGAAATAAAGATCTTACTGGAAGAGATCCTCACTTCCTTTATGATCCGCTCATGCTCCTTGTAACGTAGCTGCTTTGAAGAATAGATGGAAAGTGGTGCTAATCGCGGTAATAATGAGAGTTCTAACATTTATAAGGATTCTTCGTGGTTCAGTCAATTCCGGAATGCATCCAATCCTTGGATGGCAAGATATGTCTATGCCTTGATTTTTCTAGTCGCAAATCTGCTAGCATGGGCAGCTCGTGATTTTGGCCACGGTGCTTTAATCGAAATGAAGAGTAAGATTGCCTAATTCCTTAAAAAGTAAATATTTTCCGCATCCTATTTGTATTTTCTGCAGCTTTTTAGGCCTTGTTCTTCCATTTCATTTTGCCATCTGTATTTCTTTAACTATGCAATTTTTTTTCAAACGCTGCATGCTAATCCTTTGAAGGATGACCGTGCATGAGTCAATCTTGGTGGCGTAACCTGCATTTCCGACAGCTTATCTGAATACGTAATTATCTTGGAGTCATAAATTACTTGATTTCTTGCTATTCGCATCATAAATATCTTAAGATGCGTCCATTGCATAATTGGTCAGTGACGAAACAGAATAAGCAAAACTTGTATTCCAACTTAAAGCTATCGCCTGTATGCAACTTGTGCTCAAAATCTAGCATATATTTGACTTTCAGGATTGGAAGGATGCAATGGTGGGAAAGACTGTTTGGGTGCGGAAGGCGTTCTGCGGGTGAGCTTGGGTTGCTTTGTATCCTTTGCAATTATAAGCATGAAGTCTAGCGTATGTCGATGCGCATTAAATTAATCGATGCTCTAGTCATTGAGTTCAATTATTAAAAGCCAACCTGTCTTAGCTCATTCATTACTCATTAATCTTTGAAGCGAACCTTAATCCTATGTCAGATATTTTATATCATAATGTTTTTGTCAACTGCTCGTACTTCTAAATTGAATGAAGCCAGAGACAACTGGCACTCCGGGTGGTGGTCAGTCAAGAGTGTTCTTTGGGTCGGAACGACAATCATCCCATTTCTACTTCCTTCTGGCGTGATTCAGCTCTATGGTAAATTGCATCTTTCAGCCAGCTTCCTATTAATATTTCGTCCTCTATGTGGAATGTGGTACAAAAAGTTGCAATTATACCCTTTGTCATTTCATTCTTCCCTCTGACACTTTCCTTTTTCTGCAGGGGAGATTGCACACTTTGGAGCCGGGTATTGCTTGTATCTTATTTGTGTGTGTGTGTGTGTGTGTTTCTTTTTACCGATTTGTGATTGTTTAAAATTTGCGAATACATATTTTTCAGGGTTTTCCTTCTTATTCAACTAATAAGCATAATCAGCTTCATTACATGGCTGAACGATTGTTGCACATCTGAAAAAAATGCAGAAAGATGGTAAGATTTTCTCAGTCGCATAACTAGTAGGAATACATGCTTCATGATAATGAAAAATTTCCTTCAGAGAGCTGTAATTATTTTAGTTTTGGTAGTTGAATTATTTAAATAAGGCATGTTCTGCGGTTCCGGGCTATTTTTTATCATGTTGATATATATATATATATATAGAGAGAGAGAGAGAGAGAGAGATGAAAGAAGTGAGAGAAAAATTTAATCTTCTCAATGCCAACCGTTTGCAAGCGTTGAACGTTCTCCGGAGACTAGAGCGGACTAATTAGCTATTCTGAGGTCGATTCTACTCACATATTTACAACCTTTAAAAAGTCTAACTTATGTGCCAAATGATGAAAAGAAAAAAACGAAGGCTAAAACTATGTCTCTTCTTGTTCTTTTTGTCCCTCTTGTCTATGACACATTGATATTGATCTATAGAATAATTTCACTCTTAAGATGCCTTGTCTCTTAAATCTCTGCACTTTTTCTCAATTTTCTTGCAGTCAAATCCATGTGATGTTATTTGCTACCACTGCTTATGTTATTTGCTTGGTGGGGATCATTTTAATGTTCATTTGGTATGCACCACAACCATCTTGCCTCCTCAACATTTTCTTCATCACCTGGACCTTAGTACTTCTTCAGCTCATGACAAGTGTGTCTCTGCACCCAAAAGTAAGTTCCATTTGTCACAGGATCTTTGCTAGGAATCCACTTCATCTTCTGACATAACTCGTTAATTTTCCCTTCGATAGGTGAATGCTGGCATTCTAACTCCAGGGCTCATGGGTCTTTATGTTGTATTCCTATGCTGGTGCGCAATTAGAAGGTAGGCTTCCAATCTTTGCCAATATTTTTGCTCTTTTATAAATTTAATTCTAATGCTTCGGCTTTGATTGTTTTGTCCTTGTTCTCTCCCATAGAAGCATAGATTTAAAATCGAATAAAAAAGATAGGCAGCCCTTGATAACATACCAATATTTTCTTTTCATTCGGGAAATTTCTGAGAGAAAACCACCTAGTTTATGATTATTTTTGCCTTGTCTTCATTTCTGTTGAATTTGAGCTTTAGTATATGTGGGTGCATGCAGTGAACCGGCAGGAGATAACTGCATCAGGAAGTCAGACTCTGCAACCAAAACTGACTGGCTTAGCATCATCGTAATATTTCCATTTCTGCAGCTTTCAAATGCATGATCTCATGTCACTTTCTGATTCGTTAGTTGACCCGTGGCTGTGAATTTTTGTTGGCAGAGCTTTATTGTTGCAGTGCTGGCAATCGTTGTTGCAACGTTTTCAACAGGCATAGATTCTAAGTGCTTTCAGGTGCCCTACTCATAGAATCTATATTGAACCTGAATTTGAATATTAGTTTCTCCATTCCATGTCTGACGGAACCCTGCAGTTCAGGAAAGACGATACACCAGCAGAAGATGATGTTCCATATGGTTATGGCTTCTTCCATTTTGTTTTTGCCACCGGAGCAATGTACTTTGCAATGCTTTTGATTGGCTGGAATAGTCACCATGTTATGAGAAAGTATGCATTCCCACTTTTAACTTTCGCCTAATACGCATGCATCTCTTTGATGGTTTCTTGTCTTCCTTCTGTACCGTTGGAGAAAAAAGAGAATAACAAAGTATTCATCTGCACCTGTTAATCATGAAATGAACATATCCAATTCCAGATGACACAACCGATAAATTTGGTTTCCATGAAGTCTATTTACGTGTCAAAACATCTTTCTAGATCTGAATACTTGATTGTGCTAGAATAACGATCTGAATTGCTGCTCCCAAGATCTGATATCACTGAAATCATCACACGTTTAATTTCTCTTTCATTGCTATGAGTAAGTTTATCAGTGGTTGGTCGGGGTTTTCATTAACATTACAGAGCAAGTGCGTTATAACTTTATTCTTCTGCAGATGGACAATTGATGTAGGCTGGACCAGCACATGGGTTAGAATAGTTAATGAATGGCTGGCAGTTTGTGTTTACTGTAAGTATTCCTGGCAAATCTAAGTCTAACATGAATATTTTGAATTTTACGTCAGCATAATAAATTCTGGAATTTAGTGGAACCTTTTTCTTCGGGCCACAAATTCAGAGAAACTATTTCTGTATCACTGAGGTATGTACTAAAAGAAGCTTAAATCTTATCACAGTATGGATGCTGATAGCTCCAGTCATATGGAAGAGCAGACATAATGATTCCACATGAGAACTTCCAAAATATCCTATTCTCTCCAAGATTTTATCATTGGTGGAGGCCTTCGCTCTCCAGATTGTCCCGTTTATCTGCTGCACATGCAGTGGACTCCTCCAATTCTGCCTGATCGAAAACAGAGCTGCAACACACAGGAAACATCTCTGGCAGAAGGCACGATTCTACAGCTATGCACATATGAAGATTGGATTCCCCCCCCCCCCTTTATATGAGATATTTAGCCCCCTTCCTCCATAGAAAAGATACAAGATATCATGCTTTCTAGGCAAATGCTTCTGTACGTGCATCGCTGAGGGAGCATGATGTTTGTAAAATCATTTAAAGGATGCTTATTAGAAATTTTAGTGTTTAATCAAAATTGAAGAAGTCAATTTTGAAAAATAGATATAAAATGTAATTTTTTTCCCCTTGAATTATGATGCTTAATCATAGCAGACGGTGAAGTCTCAACTGTAGAAGATTGTTCACTTTATTTAAATGTCAGATTAAGTGTGGACATACTCCATGTTTTAATTCTTTTAATTTAAAAAATTAGACAGAAAATAGTTGCTAATATGGAATGGGTCCACTTTCAACGATCTTAAGCTCGTAGAAGCTTTGCATGCCTCGTTAATTGCCGAGGCCAAGATTCGGCACGATGTGATGATCTGCTTTTGCATCAGTAATAAAATGAGGTCCATTCCACGCTTTAACTTCGTTTGATTTTCAGATGATTAACCTCTCAAGTGTTGTTAAAAGAACCGTGAAGTCTGAAGCTTTTCAATGAAGGATACAGTGAACCATTAATCCATGGAAAGGGTTCCCCCTATGGCATCCATCAATGGGATGACCATGGACCACGTCTCTCTTACCCTAACTGGAAATGTTGACCACTATGGCGATTTTGGTAACAAAAATGTACAAGGATATAAAATCTGGTCAACTTTCAAGGATAAGTTTCAGAACCCCACCCCCAGGGCCAAAACACAAAAAACAAAAAAACAAAAAAACCGCTGAGTCTGGGTACTTTTAGCCCGACAAAATTGCTTCCCATTCCTTCCCGTGTCTCTGCACTTTGATCCATTTGGTTCCACAATAGAAGTTTTACTTCAATTTAAATTTACAAACCTCACGTATTTAAGGAATAGACGTATTTTCAAAATGAACCCTGAAATTTTCGAAAGAAAACAAAGCATGATTTTCGTTCATTATGTTTTTGGCATGAAATGGGATACCAAGAAAAAACCACGAACAATTTTAATAGACATTTTGGTATAGAGACTCAATTGACTACAATAAGAGCATGATTTCACGTCCATGTATGAAGAGAGCACGCCAAAATTATAAGATTACGGAACATACAATACAACAAAATCAGCAAATAATACAACTCTTGGGCACCAAATTAACACACATCATCACTCAACAGACACTACAATTGCAAGCGAAACACATGTTGGACCCAAAAAATTGTCTCCACGAAGGGTTCTCTCCACCAATTTCAGCCCCCTATTCCCTTTCAAGATCTCCACCAACAAAACCGGGGGGAAAAATTGTGCTCTCTCTTTCCTATAACAATAAACAAATTTACACTGCGTGTAGATATTTGACTTTAACCCCAACGATGATCACAAATCTCATTGACTAATAAAATGATGTCAGCCAAAACTTCACCCACATTTGTACAGGAAGCAACAAGATGGTGCGTGCCAAGAAGAGGCCAGATGAAATAATTTTCAAATCAACCAAAGGGGTTGCCTCCAGCAGAGAAGGAATTTGCCGCAGCAGGGGTTGAGAACATACCAGGTATCTGCTGATCTGGATTTGAGAAGCCAAAAGCAGCTCCATGTGTGCCAGAATTCCCAATTTCCTGGTGCCTACACACGCAAGTGATGTTCTAAATGTCAAAACAGCTATGTTAGCGACAGAGAGAAAAAGGGTATATTCATTCACAAAAAAAACCAATCAATGCATTACAGAGCATATAACATCCTCGCCACCTCCTTCTGACATTCTCTCTCTATAACTAACTCTAGCATCAATTTACTTTAAAACCCTTTTCTAACTAATTACATATATCAATACTCCCCCCTTTAAAAAGAATCCTTGTCCACAAGGATGGTGCGGCTCGGTGATGCAGTAATCTGAAAGTGAGGGAATTGTTGCTGAATCAGGGAAAGGTCTTCCCAAGTGGCGTCCTCAGGCTGGGAAAATTTCCACCGAACTAAGACTTGAGTCACAGGAAGGTTATGGCGTTTAATCAGTTTGCGGCCCAATATTTCCTCTGGCTCCAACATAAAATGGCCTTCATTATCAACAGGTGGCAGGGTAGGAGCAAGGACTGCAGCTGGCCCAATATGTTTTTTAAGTAAGGATACATGGAAAACAGGATGAATCCTTGTACCCGTAGGCAGTTCCAGTTCATAAGCGACAGCCCCAATCTTCTTCAGGACCTTATAAGGACCAAAATAGCGTGCAGCTAATTTATGAAGAGATGAATTGTTTAATAGATTCCTTCGAAAAGGATGCAATTTGAGATAAACCAGATCACCTTCCACAAAATGACGTTCTGATCTAGTTTTATTAGCTTGCTGAATCATCCTGTGTTGAGCTCGAAGCAAGTGTTGCTTCAGAAGCTGCAGAACCAGTTCCCTTGATAAGCATGTGCGGTCTACAAGGTCATTAGGAGAATCCCCTGCAATATAGGGTAAATGTACTAGAGGTAGCACCCCATATACCGCCTCAAATGGTGTCATTCCAATAGAGGAATGATAGGTGGTATTATACCAAAGTTCAGCTAGAGACAACCATTTGACCCACTGTTTAGGAAAATCACCAGTCATACAGCGTAGATAACCCTCCAAACATCTATTGAGTACTTCAGTTTGACCATCTGTTTGGGGATGGTAAGCAGAAGAATAATGTAGTTTAACGCCATACAAGCGGAAGAGTTCTCTCCAAAATTTACCACAGAAAACAGGGTCCCTATCAGTCACAATAGTTTTGGGGAACCCATGTAGTTTGACCACATTATCAAGAAAAATCTGAGCCACTTCTACAGCAGTAAACGGATGCTTAAGAGCCATAAAATGTGCTGCCTTAGATAACCGATCAACAACTACCAAAATAGTGGATTTAGAAAAGGACTTAGGAAGACCACTAATAAAGTCCATAGAAAGATCAGTCCACATATTTTCTGGAATAGGTAGTGGTTGGAGCAGGCCAGGGGATGCAATTAATTCAGGTTTGAAACGTTGACAAATTGAACAGGCACGTACAAAATTTCTGACATCTTTTTCTAAACCTTTCCAATAAAAGAAAGAAGACAATCTTTTAAAGGTAGGAGTCATACCAGAATGTCCACCAATGCTGTCAGCATGGAAAAATGACAATAATTCGTTGCGGAGATTACAATCAGCCCCTACAACCAGCTTGCCATTGCGTTTCAGCAACTGGTGTTGCCATGTGAACTTGGGATGGGAAGCAGGATCTCTTTCTAAATCCTTAATGAGGTGCTGTAAATGTTCATCAACAAGCCACGAATCACGAACTCTGTCATACAGTGGGGAAACTGGAACCGATAATGCTAAACAAGAGCCCTCAGATCGCCTAGATAAGGCGTCGGCTACTGTATTCTCACTGCCTTTTCTATACTGAATGTCATAATTCAGTCCCCATAATTTATGTAACCATTTGAATTGGTCCTGGTTCAGATCACGTTGCTCCAATAGGTGCTTCAAGGGTAGATGGTCAGTTTTAATTATGAACTTGCGGCTGCACAAGTAGGATCTCCACTGCTTAACAGCAAAAATAATAGCTAGCAATTCGCGTTCATAGGCTGACAGTGGTTTCTTTTTAGAAGGTAAAGCCTTGCTAGCAAAAGCTATGGGATGCCCATTTTGAGATAGGACAGCTCCTAAGCCAGTACCAGATGCATCGGTTTCTACAACAAAAGTATCATTAAAATTTGGTAAGGTCAAAACAGGTGGGGAAGTCATGAGTTGCTTCAATTTGACAAAAGCATCATTCGCAGTAGCTGACCAAGTAAATGGAGTGTCCTTTCGTAACAAGTCTGTTAAAGGTCTACTGATGGTCCCAAAGTTGCGAATAAACCGCCTGTAGTATCCTGTGAGGCCCAAGAACCCCCTTAACTCTTTGATAGAACTCGGAACAGGCCAAGAGGAAATTGCTTGGAGCTTTTTTGGATCAGCCTGAACCCCTTTTGCTGAAATAATATGGCCCAAATAGTCAATTTGGGTGGCAGCAAAAATGCATTTGGAAGCTTTAGCAAACAAATGATGGTGCCGCAATGTCAACAAGGCAGTTTCCAAATGCTGTAAGTGAGAGCTCCAGTCTTTACTGTAGACTAATATGTCATCAAAAAAAACTAACACAAATTTCCTCAAGAAAGTTTTGAAGACAGAGTTCATAAGTCCCTGGAATGTGGCAGGGGCATTAGTTAGCCCAAAGGGCATCACTACAAACTCATATAGACCTTCATGGGTCCTGAATGCCGTTTTGGGAATATCATCTTGCTTCATTCTAATTTGATGGTAACCTGACCGAAGGTCTAGCTTAGAAAAGAACATAGCTCCTGTTAACTCCTCCAAAAGCTCTTCAATCACTAGTATGGGGAATTTGTTTTTGATTGTAGCTTCATTTAACTTCCTATAGTCGACACAAAACCGCCAAGTACCCTCTTTCTTCTGCACTAACACCACTGGGGCTGCAAAAGAGCTAGCACTCTCTCTTATAATCCCACTACCAAGCATCTCCTTCACCTGTTGTTCAATCTCAGACTTCTGGACCGGACCATAACGGTACGGCCGACAGCTAATGGGCCGATCATGTTGAAGCGGGATGGCATGATCAAATGCACGAGAGGGAGGTAATTCTTTTGGCTCTACAAAAACATCAGTGAATTTATCCAAGAGCTGATTTAATTCTTGCAGCTGGGAGTCGGTCAACGAGGAGGTAATATGTAAGCCGAGTTTTAATTGAGATGAAGCTTGAAGCAGAAAGGCATGTACAGCAGCCACTATATCACGATTAGATGTGAGTTCCCTCGCAGGGGAGGGTGCGTGATATCCCAATCCATGTAATTCAACACGAGTGCCCATATAGTGGAACTCAAAAATTTTCAATTCCACATCCATAGAAAATCGACCAATCGTTCTCAACCATTGTGTACCCAGAATCATATCATAGCCCCCGATTCTCATCACCAAGAAGTCAGCTGAGAAAATCGAGTTCCCCATTTCCCAAGAAAGATGTGGGCAGTGTTTAGAAACCGTTACCTTTCGGGTATCTGCCACCGTGAGACAGACGGCACTGCGCTCCTGAGCTTTCAACTGGAGGCGCTTGACGATTGAAGCATCGAGCACATTGTGAGTGCTACCCGTATCGATCAAAATGATAACCTTCTGATTTTTGATCTGACCCACAAGTTTCACGGTAGAAGCTTTGTCGTCCCCC